GTCTTAATGCTGCTAGAATATTCAATCAATCAATCAATCTTTATTTGTATAGCTCCAATTCATAAGTGTTATCTGAAGACACTTTACAAAAAGCAGGTAAAAGACCTTACTCATTGTTATGTTACAAAAAGCAGGTAAAAAACCTTACTCATTGTTATGTTACAAAAAGCAGGTAAAAGACCTTACTCATTGTTATGTTACAAAAAGCAGGTAAAAGACCTTACTTATTGTTATATTACAAAGACCAGGCCTGTCCATCATGAGCACTTTAGCAAAGCAGCAAAAGTTACAGTGGTAAGAAAAAACTGTCTTATTAAAAGGAAGAAATCTTCGGCCGGATCCCCGGCTCAATATTGAGTTTCTTCATTCCTGTTAAAGTTACATCTCTTCAAATATTCCCAAAATAAAAAAGATTACTGAAACATGAAACAAATGTTTAGTCTGAAGGGGAACCAGGACCTCCAGAGACTCCAAAGACAAGCTAGCAACTCTGTTAAGCAACATGCTAACACCAATAAGCCAACATCCTAACATAAGTATGCTAAAATGAGCACAGTGACATTGCAAACAGCTTTAATCTTGTTTTTTTTTGTTACAAATGTTCACCATCCTAGCTAAAAATGTGGGTCTTGAACACCAACAATTCCCTACTGAACAACATGTTGCAATGTGGGCATGTGAATTAATCACATCCCAGAATGTGGGATAGTTATGCAAATTACCTGAAACATGTCATGTTGCCACTTTCTGTGCTGCTGATTAATTACTGATCTAGAAGTCTCCTTTTCCATTTGGTATCTTAAGTCCTTCACATTGCAAGACTAGTCCTTCAGCAGAACACACAGAGGACTGTGCACTCTGAGGCTTGTGTCACCTGACTGGTAACATGAATGTTACACAGCTAGAGTCTCAGATCTTGTCGGCTGGGTGCTCAAGGAAGGCATTCAGTTACACGAGGCAGCTATTAAGTGAGTGCATTCCAATTACCAGCGGTATCTCAGATGGCTCAGCCACACCAGCAGCTCACAACCATGGTTCAGTTTTGGTACTAGAATTTATTGCAAGTCCCTAAATTATAAAAAAACTGGATCACTAATTGCATAATGTGCATAACATACAATATTTGTCTGGTTCAATTAATGTTAACTCCAAAATATAGTAATTTCCCCCCACCTCTCCCCCAATATAATGCAGCCTTACTATACTTGAGTTGAAACTTTACACACTTGACAGGCTCAGGATGCCTTGGACCAGCCCTTAGTTAAGCTGCTGTTGGATCAGACTCCAGGAGGATATGTGCCCTCTCATCTCACAGGTTGCTGTGGACCTGCTAGACTAACACACCTATTATTTGAAGTCATACTTACATGACTATGAATATAGTGGTTATCACTTAAATTGGTATTTTCATTTATATTCAAAGAGCATTAATGGCCCTTATTATCACCATAGTTGTTATTGTATGTACAGCATATTGTAGTTGCTGTTTTTGTATGCAACTGTCTCTCTGAATGTCATCTCTCTCTATGTCCCACTTTACAGCTGATCTAAAGATGACCATCAATTAGTTAGACTGTATAAAACATGGGCGTAGTGTCAGTGACATCAACCATTGGTTTCTGAAGCAGACCTTTGAAGCCCTAAAACCTCATTTACCTCAACTTACTTCAGTCAACCTAGAGATGAGCAAAGACGTGGTGGTAAGGCAGCCTGGAGCCTCCTGGTTAACAGCTACACCACGACCGATTGTCATATCAGCCATTCCCCTAATTATGCAAATTTAGTCATAATAAGCCTTAACAACTCCAAACAGATGAGTAACAAAGAAATCAGCCCCTGCACAATGTGTGCAAGGAAAAAAACAATTGATACCTTTTCATTTTGATTTCTGTTGAAAATAAACATAATCTTCTGAAGCTTTTGCAGCCAGCCTCAAGTGGACAAGTGAAGATCTGCCATTTTTTGCACTCAAGCATCGGCGTCATTTTCTTAACAACCGGGTTCTGTGCAAGGTTAACACGTTAATCGTGATGCCATTAAGATGGAAATAAACAACACCACAGCGCCGGTACCAAGGGGGTCCCTTACACAAATGAAAAGACAAAAAAAGACAGTCATGTTGTGGCAAAAGCAACAGGGACACGTTTCAGGAATTGAAAAAAAAAAAACATGAACCAGAATTGACATTTTACAATTCTACAATTCACTTAGCAGACGCTTTTATCCAAAGCGACATACATCAGAGAGTAAGTACAACACAAGCAAGGATCTAGAAAAAAGGGAACAATGTCAGTAAGAGCAAACCATCAGCTTTGAGTCTGATTGGACACACAGGTGCTGACAGGCATTGCTCAGAGGCAAAGCACAACATTGAGGGCAGTTCTTGAGAGCTCTAATCAGTATAGAAACCATCTTATAAGTCGTCGTTATCAAACAAAAACCATCGTCATTACCATCATCATCATCAATAATATGGAGACCATCATCATTAAGTTAGTAGGTACTTCCTTCTTTGGTGGAGAGAAACAGGGTCGCCATGCTGAACTTCCTGTCTCAGCCTAACTTTTAGACAATCCCATGACAGACTGAGAGCTGTCTGCTACACCACGCCCTCCTGTCAATCAGGTCATGCATCCCTAACTATGCAAAACTCGTATCATCGTATATAAAATCAAAATGGATACTTGTAAAGATGCACCCCCCCCCATACAGTGTGTGCCAATGAAGACAATAACTAATCAAAACAATATTTTTTTGCACCAGGCTGTAAATGTCTGCTGTAAAAACAGGTATTTTTTGAACGTGGTGTGAATGAGACTTTGGAGGAGCAGAAGATAACCTCAAGCGGACACTAGAAGAACTGCAGTTTTTTGTATTGGCTTCATTTCTACCTAACCCAACACCAGAGGTTGCTTGATCTTGACCTGCTGAAATATGATATGTTAACTTTTGTTGTGATTTGGTGCTGTATAAATAAAATTGATTGAGTGATGTTAGCACGCTGACATAAGCTGAGGCTGTTAGGGAGGAACACATCTTATTAAACATCGACATCTCTCCATCATTTACTGATTAGCTACAGTTTCTTTTTTGCTGTTTTACAGACAATTATACCTCATCCCTTCCATCCCTATCCAACACATTTTTCATGAGTCAGAAGGCCTCTGGTAGACAGGTAGAAGCTGCAGGAGTCGAGTGGAAAAGTCATGATGTCATTAAGTGATGAGCATTTCCCCCCTCAGTACTGACTGGGAGGAGAGAGTGGGAGTCTGTGCGTTTCTTCTGAAGCAAGGTTTCTACATTTGAAGTGAAAAGAAGAGCAGAGTCCTGATTTTATGACTGCAGTCACACAAAGTTTAACAGACACACAAAGTGACTGCTGTTTGATTGAGACTTTTTAAATACAGCAGATATATCACATAATCGTCACAGTGTACCCTCCTCAGTCATCAATACCTGACTTGTTAATAAATTCTACATGCTTCCATCTATCCAGTCTGTCCTAGATTACCTTTTAAACCCCCAGGATCAGGATCAGGTCTGGGGTGACAGGAATGTAGACATAGTGGTCACACCGAGTATTGCTAAACCCAGCATCATCACGTGACCCACTGCCACACAAAAATGATTTGTCCTGATAGACAATCCCTTTTACAGGAATGAACAGGCAGCCATCTGTGAACGCTGCGTCCAGTTCTCATGAACTCAGAGTTTAAATGACTCTGTCAAAGTGACAAACCTTTACTGTGAATTAACTGACTGACAATATCTGATTCTTTTGTCCATTCATTTATCATTAGAATAAAAATATCACTGGAGTACAATGTGATGTCTTCAGCTGCATTTCTCAAAAGTGCAGTGTTTGTCAATTAACATTTGAGTGGATTCATTAACCTACTTAGTCCGTTTCATTCACTGGAACCATTTTTACTTTAGAGACAGCACCAACAACAACAATCACAAATAATAACGTGATGATGTTACATGAACAGAGCACAAAAACATAACAACTTTTTTCACACTTTTACAGCAGTTCACTTTTTATGTTACCACTCAAACTAAATCATGTATTTGAAATTTGAAATGTATTAGGTTAAAAGGAGGTTGCACGGGTCCATAAACCACAAATCCAGTTAGGTGTTTTAATTCCACTAAAGCATTAACCCTTAATCAACCTCTGAAAGTACCTGAAATCTTAAGATAAAAAATGAAATAAGAAATAAGGTTGAAGCACATTGCAGCTTTGAGGTCTTCTTTATATCTTTTCAATCAGATTGTTGTTTTAGTTGTTGCAGACAGGTTCTATTTTACTTTGCAATATTTTCAGCTGCAAATGGATTCTTGTTAAGTATTCTGATGCTTAATGAGAGCCGAGACAAAGTGAGTGGACATTACATTAATGGATGTAATGTTCTCATATATGCACTAATCTTCTAATGGATGTGATAGTGAGTTCTCTCTGCAGAGTGTGCAGCATCACTGTAAACTCTTGTTGTACCTGTGTAAGGTGCAGTTCATGCACTTAAGCTCTGAGGGGGCTCTGAGGGGGCCCTGAGGGGGGCCCTGAGGGGGGCCCTGGTCCTTGACTGTTGACTGGTCTCAGTTGGTATTCCAGCCTTGTAATTGGTTGTCTGGAAGTGCAAGAGGATGCGATAGTGTTCAAAGACTCACACTGAATGATTCAGTGATGTTCAGGCTCCACCACCTGACCAGCAGAACACGAGCCCTCGGTTCTGTCTGACAGGCTGACGGGGACAGACACGACAAACCCAGCAGGGCTCTTTAACACCGGGCCGCACCGGCACTATGATGCAGCTGTCCGCTAAGGCGAGATAAATCCGCTGAGACTCGCTGCAGGACTCACCGTGGCCCAGTTCAGACCACAACAACCTGCACCCAACTGTCACACACACCGACCGATACCGAATAAAGCGACTCATACGAGCCCCTCACCTCCACACACTCATCTACGACTTCAGCTCATCCGGCTTGGAGCTTACCTGTGCGGCCGTTTAGCACGGATCGGCTCTGGGTATGTGCACAAACAAATCCCAGAAAACGAAGAGGAGAGGAAACTTTAGCCGAAGCTCCGATCTGCTCCTCAGGCGGGGCGAGGAGGGAGGGAGGGGGGCTTCAAACCCGACGTGAGGCCGGGGAGGAGCGCAGTGGTCCGCCTCCTGGAGGAGAAGCAGCAGAAGCAGCGGGCGGCAGGAGGAGAAGCAGCCGGCTCAGACGCTCCGTTTGACGGAAGGAAATCCACTCAGAACCGCTCGGATAAAGTTGATCTGCTGCCCTGCTCTGCTGTCGCCATCTTTACCCGCGGGGCATGACGGGTAATCCTCAGGAATCCCGTCCCCCCTCATCCCCTCCTCCTTTCCCAAACCCTCACCATATACCATACTCGCCCGTCACACGTCCTGCGTGCTGACGTCACACACCTTAATCTGTGGGAAGAAGTGGGAGCACAGGTGTTCAGTAGCAGATTGTCATAAATGTATTATTTAGTTGTTAAACATTTGATAAATCTGTGTATTCAGTCACCAACAAGTAAAAAATACAACTCTGAAAAAGTTAAAAATAGTTATTAGGCTAGAGAAAAAACATTTACAGAGGTTTATAAAGATGTCACTCACTCTTTACCTTAGGTCGCTTACTGAGCAGTTGTACTGATTTATTTAAATTCCGCCTACGTTATACTTCCACTCTCATGTATTTATCAGTCATCTTAAGGATTCAGATTCAGTTTATAATCATGTACGATAACAGATTAAACCACCCAGCAGTGTACAAAGTCATTGAAATGAGGTCCAGAGTGAAAAATTGCGACATTCAATTGGATAATCACAGTAAGTGATACATGAGTAATCATGGTACAATAAAACATAAATAATATTCCACCAAAGTACTTTAACATTTGGTATAGGACTTTAATGCTGTGCCCCTCAGATGCAAATAAAGATAACTATTGTGTCCGCCAATGGTATGACTCACCTGAGAGAGGGGGGGGAGAGAGAGAGAGAGAGAGAGCGAAAGAGAGAGGGTAGAGAGAGAGAGAGAGGACAGAGAGGGAGAGAGGGGGAGAGAGAGAGAGAGAGAGGGGGGGGAGAGAGAGAGAGAGAGAGAGAGAGAGGGGACAGAGAGGGAGAGACGGGGAGAGAGAGAGAGAGAGAGAGGGAGAGAGGGGGAGAGAGAGAGGGAGAGAGGGGGAGAGAGAGAGAGAGAGGACAGAGAGGGAGAGAGGGGGAGAGAGAGGACAGAGAGACTGAGGAATAAAAAGGTTCAGCGGTCAGTAGATGGCAGCAGGGTCAAAACTAAAGAGAGAGGGAGCGTGTGTGCACGTGTGTGTGTGTGTGTGTGTGTGTGTGTGTGTGTGTGTGTGTGCGTGCGTGCGTGCGTGCGTGTGTGTGCGTGTGTGTGTTGAGGGGTATGTTTGATATCAAACTTAAAAAATGTCTAAAGTTGGTGAAATTCTGTCCAGATGTCCACTAGCCATCAACCAAACTGTACACTTTAATAAGTAATTGGACAGATTTCCCAGAGTGCCTCACTGGTGTCTACATGTTGGTTGTTCTGTCAAAGCTCCTTCGTCTTGACTGCAGATCATTGAAGCTCCTCAGGTCTGTCTTGAGAGAGTTGGTTGTGTGGCAGCTACTGCGCTCTGTCTCTGTAAATCCCTCTTAGGGATTGTCATAACTGATGTTTGCCTTTTCACAAATCTTTTATTCTTTTAGGTGATTAAAATATAATCAAAAGGAGGGAAATGTAATGGAAAAATTCTGTTTACTGTTGAGGACACATTTTACTCACAGCTCCCTTGAGATGCTACAATAATTTAATACCCAAGGATGAAGGTTTCTTACAAATAGCTAAATATCAAAGATCCTCAGACTTGAAGTTTCCTTGACAGTACTGTTGTACGACATGTTGAAATGTATGACAAAATGTATTTGTTATTTGACTGCGCCTGTATCTGCAATCCTTATATAGGCATGAAGGTTTCTCTGTGAAGCATGTGTATATAAACCCAAACATATTGTGATTTCTTTGAGCTTTCCTTCAGACTGTATTGACACTCTGAAGCTTTGTTCCTTCTTCTTGCAAGAAGAATTAAACTTAACAAAGGCATTGATTGACTCATGATCCTTTCTTTTGCATTGTTAACAGAAATTTCCAGCACACCTTGTACTTGCAGAAGTTGTGTTGTCTCAGTCCCTTTGTCTGCTGTTGAATTGTTGAGTCAGAGTACTACTGTGTGTGTGTGTGTGTGTGTGTGTGTGTGTGTGTGTGTGTGTGTGTGTGTGTGGATGTGTGTGTGTATGTATGTGTGTCTGTCTCTGTTTATTGTGTCCGCAGACAGTTTCAGCCCGATCTTGTCTCTGTTTACACCAAAACACTCAGATGATACAGTGAGGCTTAATATGTCAACATACTTTACCTTGAGAGAAAAAACTTAAAAATAGAACTAGAAATAAGAAACGTCACATGACATCCCTACGACACTTTACTTTTACTGTCAATTAAAATTATTTAAAAAGGTCACTTTTTCCAATTAGAACTGAGCTTCAGCTGTTGTGGAGGTTTAAGTGTCATCCCCTTTCTTAATCTCCTGATACTCCTTTTAAATGTGACTATCAGTCACAGTGAAGTGTTTGTCAAATGTTGCTTCATAATGGGGATCAGTGTGTTGGTGGACCACCTGAGACATAATGACCCCTCTGCCTATCTGACTTTACACAACCAATCAGATCATCTTCACACTGACTCTAAGATTGGCCTCACAAGGATAGAAACACACACAACAGCTGCTGGAGAGATTACCGTCTCCCTGCAGAGCGGAAAGATGAAGACAATGTCCAGCTGCTCCACAACAATGCAGATCTCCCCTCTGTCCTCTCATATGAGAGCTATGGGAGTAATGGGAGGTATGGAGAACATGCCACTGGTTGGTGTCCCAACAGCTGCTGGTGTCTTTCTGTCCTGTTTCAAAACCAGAATCAAAAACCTGTGAATTAGAGACATGAAGAGCAGAGTAAGGAACAGACAGATTTATTTACACAAAGTTCTTTACATGGACATAACATGCAGATATGTGAACATGAAAGTTAAGATGACCACATGAGCCACATTTCTTTGGGCTCAAGAGGTGTGTCTGTAAGACAGCAACAGATTCGATAAAACACAAGGACGTGAGCAGAGTGTTTCAGAGTTTAGGGAGCAAGTTGACCTGGGTGTATAAATTGAGCCTAAACATTCCAGTGAGTCATGTGATCAGAAGTTAAATCTGATCTAGGATTATCTGTTAAACTTTCCTAAAAAATCAGATCCAGAGCATCAAAAATCAACACACATGAACGGTTCACAACCAAAAAATTTCAGGTGTTGTATTGTCAGGGTGAAGTATTTGAATCTGTACAGACATGTTGACATGAAGGCTCACAAGTCATAAACATGTTTAACCTTCACCTCCGAACATTGAACACAAAACCACAGGATATAGAGTGTGTGTGTGTGTGTGTGTGTGTGTGTGTGTGTGTGTGTGTGTGTGTGTGTGTGTGTGTGTGTGTGTGTGTGTTGTTTGTAAGATAACCATGGTGTTAAATTAAATCCAAGCACTGACGGTCACAATGACACACAACAGCCCTGTGTGTATTCAGTCTGCAGCACATCTGCACAGTCAGGTGTCGATTAGTGTTTTCACACATGCCCCGAAAAATTTCACAAAATTTCCAGGTGAGCTCAAAGACGCAGGAAGTGAAGGTGCTGGGGTTGGTGCAGTACTCCCTTAAATGAGGGATGATTTTGAATTTAGATAGAAAACAGAACATCTTCTGACAGTGCTGAACCATCGCACCAATCCAGATTCCCCTAATGGACTGACTTCTGGCGTCCCTGAGCTTTGCTGAATGCAAATGACAAGATTCTTTTACCCTGACTTTACCTGGAATATTTCCTGCAAGGTCCCTCGTAAAAAATGTAAAATGTCACAGTGTTCACTGTAGTTCAACAGAATCACAATATCAACTAAATAGCAGTGAGTTTTTCAGGGATTTCCTGCAAGTGTAAAAGTCCTATATGTTAAATATCATGTAGCATTTTTATAAAAGCTAATAGTGCCAGAGTCAGAACAATTGTTGAGAATTTACAGGGTGCGTCTGTTAAAAAGCCTCATACTGTAAGTAATAAATGTTGAAGTAACAGAAGAGGCTGATAGACAGTGAACATGTACTGGCTCACACGAAGTTCCTCTGTTCCATCAAAATGAAATAAGGTTGTATACCTGTTTTGAAAGATTTGTTCAGAAACACATAAATCTGTTGTCTTTATTTACACTGCTATCTTTAGACTGACTGCATGTAGAGGTCAAAGGTCAAACACAGTGTTCATCAGACAGACAGTGGGCTCCTTGATTGGCACTATGAGCTATGGGAGAGAGAGAGAGAGAGAGAGAGAGAGTGTGTGTGTGTGTGTGTGTGTGTGAGTGTGAGTGTGAGAAGGGATAAAGGACACAGTAAAGGGCAATAAGGACAAAAGGAAGGACATAAAAGAACAAAGAAGGTAACCAAGGAAATATGTGACTCTTGAATCTTCCACTTAAACTTCATCTTAGAGTTAAAACCGGGATGGTGGGATGATGGCTGAGGTGGTCCTCAGCTGCTGTGGTGAGGGTTGGGTCAAGGCTACCCCCCCCACCCCCCATCTATTCTTCTCTGTGCAAAGGGAGGCATTGTTAGGCAGGTGGTTTAACACACACACACACACACACACACACACAGTTTAGAGCGGAGAGGAATCTCCCAGCTGCTTCTGCTGCAGTTCATTCAGCAGGTTAGACCCTCATCAACCCCTCAACACTCTGCTACCAACTCCAATAGCCCAATCTCGCCACCCGCCACTTGAACATCTGAGCAGAGGTCGACGTACGCCGTCAGACAAATTTAGCTTCCAAACACCGTCACAGACATATCCAGTTACAGATGAAGACCAACTTAAACAAAAGCTGTGCATGTCTTCAAATGTTTAGCTTTAAAACAAAAAAATCAGGTGAAATGATTCAAACTGATTGGCAGATTATTGGATACTGATGAGCACCATGGTATCCCTGATCATTCTGTTCAGACAGGATATGAGCTCTGGCGGTAACAGATGGTTGGAGGTATAGTGGTGGAGATAGAGATGGAAATAAAAAGTGACAGTATCTGAGTTATGACACATTTAATAAACACTTTAACTAGCTGCATTCAGAGAGAGCCAACAAGCCCAGACCTTTACTTCCTGTGACAATAAATTGATGTGTCAGAGAGATGGAATAAATCAGCAATGTCTCATAAGTGTATTCCCATAAACAAATC